TGTGTGTGTGTGTGTGTGTGTGTGTGTGTGTGTATACCACTTTGATTTACTAGAATAGCAAAAAAATTGACTGAAGAGCTTGTCTTTGGGGGAACATCAGTAAAGCCAATTGTGGAATTTTGGAAGTTGTTACAGCATATACACAAACTAACAGTAGTTAGTTTGACTTGGGATATTGATGAGGCTGGGTTCCCAAACAAAAACATTAAGGATTGACAATTTTAGTACAGAAGGAGGAAAAAGGAAAGGAAACAGTATGATTGACATATTGCTTTCACTTATGGAACAGTTTCCATAGCCTTCAATTGGTATTCATTAATTTCTTTGGGTTTTGACTTGCCAGGAGAGATTGCACTTGGTTGCAATGGCTGCCCTTGGAAAGAAAATCCTCTGTGTCTGAAGGCAGGATGCTGTATTATTGATGGGAGGGGGGAACAAAAAAGTATAAATAAAATAAAATAAAATGATTAATTTGCTTCATTATTGCATGTTGCTATTTTACCCTTGTCCCACTCCCTTAGGGGTCTACTGAATCCTGCCTTTATCCTCCACCAAGCATAAAGAGTCAGTATGCCTGGGACACATATATTTCATACTACACATTTTTAATAAATTACACAATAAAGGCCAGGAGTCATCTCAGAAAACACCCCACTTTTTCTAAATGCACTTTTTTTGTGCAGCTACCATATTGTTTGCACATTTGTTTTCTATAGCCAAAAGCAAGGAGATGAATATATATGGGAAATGCCAGGAAGAAAGGAATTGTAAATGTGAAAGGCAGCTTGCTTGTTTTTTGATGTAACTTGGTGGACAAAGATCATTGGTCTACAGTGGCATTGTTGGTTGAAGCTGGCTGATGTGGGATGTGAATGGTCTTCAGAGAGAATGTGTTTACAAAGTGAAACACTTCCACCAGTCTAGAATGGTGGTTCAATGATTTTGACATTAAGATTAAAGATTGCCTTGCAGTTGCAGACATTCATTGCTTCAAGAATAACCACTGCACTATTATTGTTAACAATGCAGTCCTACATGTCTAGTCAGAAGTAAGCTCCATTAAGATTAGTAGGGTTTATTCCCAGGTAGATCAATATGATTGCCACCTAAAATATTTATTCCCTTAAAAGACATCCTATGTAGATACTTTAATATTCATTCATATCTGTGTGCATTGCAAGGGGAGGCGTTTTGAAACAACACGAGATTCCTAATGGGAAAACCTTTGGGCAAAATTCTGCTGTCAGCGTTTTAAAATAGGATTTCTCTAAATTATTGATCGTACCAATAAATAAAGTCTTGGAGGAAGCAGGAGAGAATTCATAGGACTCTTGGTGAAAGGAATCTACCGATGTATTATTACTAAGGGATAAATTAAACGTTTGATGGTGATGGCTGGCACATTAAATATACAGTTTCCAATATATACTTTCTCATCTGTTTTTGTCTTTATTTTTTCAATAAAAACTCACAGCTCAGGCATTTTGTTCCCAGTGGAGCTTCAGGAATTATTTGCCTTTCCTTTCTCCCCCTCCTGCTCAGAAACAGCTGTCCATTGCTTATCATTTCAGGAGGACTACTGACATGACTCTCAGCTACCATACATCACAAATAATTCATGTTGCATCATATTCAGTTCCATGATGGGATCCAAGATGTATGAATGGAATCAGGAGCAGATATTCATCTTCTGCTTCACCAGTTGTTTTATTGTAGATGTGTCTACTTTGCAGGGCTGTTGTGAAGGTCAGATCAGATAATCGATATATTTGTTGCTCTGAACTCCTCGAGAAAGGCAGAATCCACCTGACCTATTCCTGAGAGACACTTTCAAAATAATCTGGAGTTTATCTTTTGAAAATAGGAAGCAAGACCAGGGCACTGTGTGTCCCTGGCTGTCCCTCATAATATCCACATTAAAATGTTCCACTAAGTTAGAATTAAAACATTCCGCTTATTATAGATTGTGCTCTTTTTCATGCCAAGGAGGGAGGTGGTGTTCTTCATGCAATGCCAGAACCCAGTAACATCTACTTGTGATTCTGAAAGGTAGCAGGCAAAGTCCACATGAATAATTGGGGCAGGGGAAAGAGAAAAGGTAAGTTCTCCAGAGATTCACCATCTCAAGGGAGGATGTGACGTTAAAGGCCGTTGTTGCCATGTGTCTTTCTGTAACCCATAGCAACAGCAATCCCCATAGCAGCTGTTAGGTATTGATTTGAAGGAATAATCTAGGTGCTGCCCTTTAAAAATAGCCCCCACTTATATTTGAACACTTGAATGCCAGGGATCTCTTTCTATCCTGACTCTGAGATCTCCGAAGCACGGCTGTGGAAATTGCAAATATTTTCCCTAAATAAACACAGGAAAGCAATTTTGGAATGGTGATAGTATAATTGAATGCTCCCAAGGGACAAAAACTGCTTTTTTCCTGCATACTGCTAATTAAGAATGCATAATTGGAGACAGTAATACTTTGTAAAAGGAAATAGAATGCTTGTAAATAACTGTAGGAAAAGCCCTTTTAAAAAGTGTTTGAGTGCTCACCAGGAAAAATCAAAATAAACAATGACTGGATTCAGACATCATGGAAAGCCATACTCATTTTCATCATATTTGTTGAATAAGCCCCAAAGCTGAGTTAATAGCACACACTCAAATAAAACCAATCACACAATGTTTGAATAGGAAATTTGAACTCAAAATCTGAGGATACTGAATCCTTTCAACCTGCCCTGTCCTTCCTAAACAGGACACTTTATTTGATATAAATAAGGAAAGAAGAATAAGAATCAGGATCACTTCAAAATCAGGATCACTTCAAAAACTGAACTATTCAGAAGAGCATCCATTTCTAATTGCTGTTTTGGCAACTATTTCCTGGTAATAATTTACAGAAAGTTTGGGCAGTTTTAAGAATTATATTTTTTTGTATTCTGTTTTCTACTGTTGGAAGTTAAAACCCACCCCTCTCATAGGAAAATGAAATATTTTAGGATATACTAAAAAGGCAGAATATTTCCCCTAAAAGAGAAGTAGAAATTCAGAGAGGCCCCCAACATTTGCTAATGGACCATTAAGGCCTGGGCCAGTCTATTCTACATAACAAAGATCTACCTCCTTCAGGCAGAGCCATAATAGAAATTGCTCAAAGTCCTTTCATTACATCACCACCCAGCAAGAGTCAAAAGCCTGGGACTCAAAAGACAAACCTACAAAGTTACCCCTGCATGGCCCCATGGGAGTCTGACAACCAATCAGAACACAAGCTCAAATTTAAAGCCCAACAAAGGGCATAAAACCCAGGCACTCTCAGCATCTCTTCCCTTTTCACCCAGGATCTCCAAGCCATGTGGTCCAGTCCACCATCCAACCATCTTTCCAAGCAGTCCCCATGTTTCCAATGTCTTTCTTCCCCACTTGGAACTGAACCCAGAAAGATATTTCTTCCAACACTACTATGATCACTTTGGTTTTGGTTTTTTAAATTGTTTTTATTGCACTTTTTTCTCTTTACTTTGTAAAGAGAAAATATTTTTAACAATACTAAGGCATCTTTGTTACAAATACACATTTCCATACATTTCTAATATTCATATACATTTCTATACCTTATTCTTATCTCTACAATTCTTATTCCTATTGTCTATCCATTCATACCATTTTTCCCATACCACATAATACTCCAAATCTTCTTTACCTTTTAATTCTAGGTGAATTTATCCATTTCTGCAAAATCTAAGATCTTTTGGATCACTAGGCCTTCTGATAGCATGTTATCTTTTTTCCAGCATTGTGTGAGTGCGATCCTCGTTGCTGTAGTTATGTGCGAGTTCATATATTTTATCTTTTTGTTATATTTCCTCTTAATTATCCTTAAAAGGAACAATTTTGGCTTCAGTTCTATTTGACAATTTGTTATTTCATACATCCTTTTTTGTATTTTAATCCAATACTTTTTTACTTCGGGGTATAACCACCATGAGTGAAAGAAGGTACCTTGTCCCTGTTTGCATTTACAACAGCTTGGATTCAGATTTGGGTACATTTTTGGCAACCTTGTTGGGGCCAGATGCCAATGATAAAACATCTTATATTGATTTTCCTTATATGCAATGGATTTTGTTATTGTATAATTTTTATTCCCAATTTTTTCCCAATCTTCGAGCTCAATATTATGTCTGAAATTTTTGGCCCATACTATCATGGGTCCTTTTACTATTTCCTCTTCCATGTCGAATTTTAGTAAATAATTATATATTCTTGTTATTAATTTCTCTTCTGGGCCTACCAAAATTTATCTAATTGTAATTTAGTGTCAAATCCATATTTCTCTGCATCTTTTTTATATCATGATTGTAACTGAAGATATGGCCACCAATCTATAATTATTCCCTTATCTTTCAATTCCGGATTGCTTTTTAGTATTCCTTGATTATCTAAAATTTCATTGTATCTAACCATTTTAATCTATGTCTAGTATGTTGGGGTGGATCATCGCCTCCATGGTGGATAGCCAACCTGGGATTTTTGGTTTTTTATTTTATTTTAACAGAAGTGAGTCCATGTGAAATGTGGTGGTATAATAAAAAGAAATGAGCAACATCAGGAATCTGGCTTGCATGGTGCTGTGGGGGATATTACTGTAGAAGGCTGCCTGGGACCTGCATAATCTTGGTTTAATGGTGGACTTAAATTCAAAGGGGATTGGCTTCTTGTGGAATAGGGCAAAGCTGATTGAACTATAGGATTATGTTTCCAAATTCTCAAATGTCAAAGTTTCCCCAGGTTTTCACTAACTTGTTAACAATGTTGTCATGGGGGTAGGAGATCTCACATGTCTTCTTGCACAGGGCCATCAGATTAGCATACATTCTCCATCTTTTAGAAAGATTTCTAGGAAGACTAGATAATTTCTCTGTGAACCATCTTCTCTGGGACTCAAATCCAGCCACCACTCGTGCAGTAGTCAAATTTTGTGTTGTTGCAATGATAATAAGGCAAAACCAATTAAATAAAGGCTTACTTTATTTTAAAGGTAAGCAACCAGCTTTGTAACATTTAGCTCAGAAGCAATTTAATCTTTTCCCTTTAGGCTACTGAGTCTCAGTCCAGCACTCTCTCCTTCACCTCCATATTCCAGAAAACTCCATTACCTCTCCATTGATCTGAAGTCCCACTCTACTCTTCAGTCCTGGGCTGTTCTCCATTTTCCTGAAGTCTTTGGGGTCTTCATCCAAAATCCTTCCCTCAACTTCATTCTCTCTTTTTTCAAGCTATATCTGTCAATGATTGCTCTCTCAGTTCCTGTCAGCCTCTCCCAGACAACCCATGACAAGGCATTTTAAACAGAAAAGATGATGCTGAGGAAACTTATTTTGGTTTTGTTCAGGCAAATCTCTCTCCTTGCCCTCCCCCCCCCAATTCCTTTCTTGAGATTAAGGTCCTATGCACCCAAATGTTTGATCTCAAATCCAAAAGGAGCACCTAGAAAACCCCCCTTTGGGTATGTGTTATGTTTTACTCCAAACACAAAAAGTTAATTCCAGGAATATTTGTATATTGGATTTTGGTGAGCCTCCCATCCCTCTCACCTTGCCTACATGCAACACATTGTGGAATGAATGGGACTTTGCCATTTCCTACACCGTTTCTCTGTATGCTTTTGGTCATATCATCCCATCCCCACCTTGCTTCTTCTCTTAGTGGTAGTTGTTAATGTGCATTTTTAATGATGAGCATATTTTTTTAACAATATTTTGGAAGACGTTTGGTCCATCAGGTTGGATCTATGTTGGTGGGGGGAAAATATACCATGCTCATGGCATAAGAGGTAAAGGATCCATGAGGGAATCTAGGATGGGACCTCAATCAAGCACCAGAACAGCTTAGCATCTACTGTAGGCACTAAGTTGATTCTTTGTCTGTGTTTTCCTTTGCCTATCTCCTCTCATATTTATGCTGTTAAGGTAAAACAAGGCTCTCTCATCCTGAACTTAGAAATCCAATAAGCAGCAACAATTTGGAGTGGAAAGAGTTTGAAGGAGCTATTGCAAAGAAGTAATACAGTTTACAGAAAATACAAGCAGAGCAATTCCTTCCTATCCTGGAAACAAGATGCTGAACTCATGGAATCATAGGACTGAAAGAGAACTTAGAGGTCAATTAGCCCAAACCCTGCCCAGCGCAGGAGTCCTTTGGCCATGCCAGGCAAATATCTATCCAGTCTCTTCTTGAAGACCTCCAATGAAAGGGCACCAACAACTTCCAAAGGTAAGCGGTACCACTGATTAATTATTCTCACTGTCCAAAAATTTCTCATTAGTTCTAAGTTGGATCTTCCACCCCTAACATCTTGTCCTGTCTTAGGGTGCTTTGCAGAATAAATAAACCCTTCAAATATTGGAAGATGCTATTGTGTCATTCTTGAGCCTTCTCTTTGTTAGGCTAAACATACCTGTTACCTTAGCCATTCATCATATAGTTTAGCCTTCAGACTCCTTATCATCTTTGTTGCTCTTTTCTTAATTCTTTCCAGGGCCTCAGAATCTTTATTCAACACATGGTGATCAGAACTGCAAATGTGGCCTCACTAGTGCAATATAGCACAGTTCTATCACTTGTCATCATCATGATATCCCTCTGTTGATGCAATCTAGGACTGCATTGGCTTTTTTGGCAGCTGGAGCACACTGCTGGCTCATACTTAAGTGGATGTCCATTAGGAGATCTAAATCCCTCTCACAGTTACCATTACTGAGTCAGGTATTGCTTATTCTATACCTGTGCCTTTGCTTTTTCCTGCCTAAGTGCAGGACGTTACTTTTCTCACCATTGAATTATATCTCAGTGGAACCTTGCTCTAATCCAGAAAAATTCAACACCCTGAAATTAAATCTATCCAGAAGGAGACCAGTGAATTAATGTCACCATTCTGTTCAAATACCTTTCCCCTCCCTTTCCAAGAAAAAATGAACCTGCATTCCTCAACGAATGAGATGGATATTCCTGGTCTTGTTACTATCCTGTGGCTGTGATGATATTATGTGTCAGAGGTAATAGTCAGTGTAGAGCCATAGCCTGGAGATTGCTTTGTCAGTGCCGATGTGTAAATGTGTATCTCTGCTTATTATGTGCATTGAATTTATACAGAAAGCCATTATGGATTTTTGCCTTTGTGGTTATATACTCCCTATTGCTAGTTATTTCTTCACAGCAGAATAAAGATTGAAATCACTTTAAAATACTACTTTAAATCTGTAAAAAACAATTGAAAGAAGAAATAAATAAAATATGCCTCATTAGAAAATAAGTACTATCTTGCCCCTTATCCCTCCAAAATTCATTTTCCCTGCTGAGATCATGTATGGGAAACCACTTAAATGTGCTACATTATTTACAAGTTCTCTTATTATTCAGTTAATGTTGCCCATTTATTTTTATTTTTTCCCCTTTTGAGACAGCTGTAATTTGAGTACCACATTAATCCACTCTGAATCTATGGCTCCGTTTGTTAGTGCATGACTGTAACTTTGTTGCTTGTATCTTACAATTTTTTAATTGACTGTTTCCTAGTATGATTTGATTGCTTATTGTACCCTATGCCTATTATTAAGTGTTGAACCTTATGATTCTTGACAAATGTACCTTTTCTTTTATGTACACTGAGAGCATTTGCACCAAGACAAATTCATTGTGTGTCCAATCACACTTGGCCAAGAAAGAATTCTGTTGTATTCTGTTCTAGTGTGCTAATATGCCCAGTCAGCCTCCCTCTTGCATATCTGTTGAATTCCTAGATAATATAAAAAGCCTGGAAATGCCACCCACAACAGAAAATCAAAGTAATATGGGCTTTTTTTGTTATTGTCAGGTGGAAAAGGGTGAAAACCAAAACAATACCACTATTTCTGAAATCAGACATATTTAATATTTTGCAAACTCTCATATTGATTAGATGCAGTTCTTCTAATTGCTTGTTTGTCTCTTTGCATTATATCCTACATTTCCTCCAGGAGCTCAAACTCTCTCCTCCAATTTTTGCCTGCAAAACCTATAAAGTTCATTGGGTTGAGAGAGAAAGACAAGCCTGAAATCATCCGATGCTGGAAAGCAACCAGTTCAGAGAAGCACTCAAGCAGGGAAATTAGTCTGGAGTCATTATGTAAATACAGGAGAACAAGGTCTGTACCCCACCCCCCACCCCCAATGCCTTTGAATCTTATCTAGTTTTTATCTAGTTATTATTGTAAGGTAGTGGTCCTCAATCTTTATGGCTCAGCAGTCCAGCTTGGGGAGGTGAGAGGGGAACCAGGCTATGCAAGTGGTGGGCTGGCATGCATACATGTATGGGCAGCTCAACTTACATAAGCAGCAGACCAGCATGCACATGAACCTGCACAGCTCAATGTGCACAAGTTGACCTGCCCGTGCACAAGCACGCAGGCCCACCACTCATGTGAATTGACCTGCACATGTACATGACAACTCATGTGGTCTAGAGATCACAGCCTGGTAGTGGGGATTGAGGACTCGCATTGTAAGGGACTTCAGCTGTATGTCCCAGCCAAATAAAGCTCAAATTGTGTGGTCATTGATAGCTAGATTTATTCCAAAACTCTGTTAAAGAAGCTGCAAATTTGTAAACCCTGAACTACTGTGAGCCACAGAAATTATGATGTCCCCAATCTATTTTTCTTTGCTTCAAAATGGACATTGATCCACAGAAGTGTGCCTCCAAATGCAAGTTGTAACCAAACCTGAGAGAACCAGCTGTTATGTATTGAGCATATAAAGTTGTGTTAGGCCCTTCTAAAGTGAGAGTAACATTTAGATGACCCTAACTGTTAACTCCAACTGTTTTAGAGGGAAACTTAGAACATTCATATTTGGGTGGGGTTTTCAAGTATTATGATTGGTTAAGGCCATTTGGGGCCCTTGCTTGCTGTTCCTCAGTTCCAGTTTAGAGTCAATCAATGTTGTTGTATTATGCTGGTCTGCTTCTCGGCTACAGAAGCCCACTACACAGCACCAACTGTTCACCAGAGGTTCAAGGGTAAACAGAGTCTGATTAGAACTGAAGCAATGTGACTGCAACAAACGCCAAAGAGTGGTATAAAATCTCTCTTGGGGATGAACCAAAAGGAAATCTTTCAGGGGAATCAAATGTGCCTGGGGTCCTGGCAGTGAATGCTAGGCAAACAGAGTTCCCTATTCAGTTGCTTGAAGCAATGGAGATGAAAAGCAGGGGAACCTCCTGCTTTAAGTGGTTAGTATTGCTCTTTGAAGGTGACTCTGAAAAAAAGCCAGGATAACTTTGGTGTCTACAACATAATGTGTGTCCTCTTAGGATTTACAATACCCTGTCAGAATACAAGACTGGATAGCATGTTCACATCTTCCCCGCAGCAAAAATTCCCTGCCTGTACTGAAGCAGCATATCAGAAAGAGAGGTGGTCTTATAAGTAGAAAGGGTTTTTGGGCAGCTAGTTATGCATTTCTCCATCCACTTCAGCATTGCAAAGTAGTATAGACCTAGAACAACCTTTGGTAAGTATTTCAGGTTTGCACACTAGTCTGAGCCCTTCAAGAGAATTGAATTTCTTCTTAGGGTTAGGGTTGGAAAGATGGAATGGGGAAACAGCTTATTGGGGCATGAATGGTGCTGGTGAAGGTGATGGTATGTAGAAAGCAGGAGGCATAAGTAAGGAAAGTAGGCTAAGATTAGTGGAAATAGCAGCTGAAATAGCATGAACAGCCAGGATAAATCACTGTTTACTTATTCTGAATCTGTAAACAACTGCATCTAAGTAATAAATATGCACCTGGTTAGCCAAAAATAGTTCTATTTAACTTTATGCCATGTAGAGGCTGTGGCAGCTTTAATTCACTTAGATGTTAATTGAAATATACAATCTGACCAGGTATGTCTAAACTTTGGCTTGCAATTGTCAAACGTGAGACAAATGCAGACAGTCAAGAGTTCAAGAACTTCCCAAGTACTGATGATTGTTTTAACTACATAACCCACTGTTAGGCAGCAGTGAATGCAGATGTCAGCCTTCAAGATTTTCTTCCTTTGCTTTGCATCTTTCAGCTGTCATAAGTAACGGGGGGAGGAGGGGGGACATGGTTATGGGAAGCGAGCTGGAGGTGTTACAAACCAGAACTGTATAAGTTGCAGGGGGAGTTTCTTGCTTAGGCTTCTATCCTATGCTATGCGCAACCGCAACTCTTTATCAAAATATGTCAAGGTCAACGGACAGAGGCCTCATCACCAACTAGAGATGCCCACATGATGTTGTACACAACTTTTAATTGGATGAGCCAATTGAACTATTGGCGATGGCAACGTTGCCATCACTTTGTATATGTGCTTTACGCGCTCCTTTTGTCAGATTCAGAATTCTTTTGTTGCTACCACTTGACTTCCAGTAAAAGATATCTTTTAATTTAATTAATCTAGTTAATGGAGTTTTTCTTTCTTGGATTTTGAATGGAGCACCATCTGACAGCAGAAGTTTTTGAGGTTCTGTTTTAATTGCTTCGTGGTTTGCAATTCATTGTGAATGATAACTTCATTAAACTGTTTCCAGACAGTGAGATAACTAAGGGAATCTACCTGTGGGTCCACTAATGACAGTTAGTTTTTTCAGTGCCTTGGAAAAGTGAACACAGAAACCATCCAAAAACAGTTATCAAAAGTTCTATGTGTGTACAAAAAAAGCAATTCTCACTGATAAGAATCACCATTTATTTCCACTTGTCATACATTATGTTTCAATTAGGACTCTGCTGGTGCTGGAGTCATGGGTCAAAACATGTAGTGATTTTAATGAATCACTTCTGTAATAATTAACAAACACAGTTGAGTTGTGAAATTCTTCTGCAATAAAGAAGAAACAAAAGAGTGGGAATTTTTTATTGTATTGATTATGCGTGATATTTAGTATCTAGTGTATCTAGCAACAAAATATGAAGCAAGATTTTTATTTGTTTCCTTCAGATCCATATGATTTTCTGATAAATCTTTATAATTATTATGAAAAAGTCCCCCCAAAAGAGCTTATCCAAGAAGGCACATTGTTTTCTAATGAATCAATTTTTTTAAAAAACCCACAAACATACTGCAACACATTGTTTAACAACTCACTGTAGCAAAGATAATGAGTACAAACAGCACAAAATAGGGGGAACAAATAAGTCATCTTGTACCCAGGAATTATAAATTAGTAAAATTGTACCCAGAAATTGGTAAACTATGTTCCACTTCTGTATACCTCAATATTAGTATTTCAATAGGTTGGTTTAGTATGAGAAACTTATGATCCAGAAATTGTATCTTGCTGTTATGATATAGTGTATAGTATATCATCACAGTATATTATAGTATATGGAGCTACCCTACTTGATAACAAAAATAATAGTATATGGAACTATCCTACTTGATAATATATTGCATTGCCTGTTGTTACTCTCAAAGAAAGTTTTACTATATCAAACCAAGAATTGTTTATAGATTTTGCTGCAGCAGATCAAGAATTTATATTCTGAGATGCATCTGAAAATATCAAATACAATGTTGTAGTAAAGAAAATTTCCCAGAATGCACAGCTTCCATAAAGCAAAAAAATCCTATTCAGTAGCCCCATAAGGCAAAATTTATTAATTTATTATGATCCCATAGGGAGATAAAATCTCAGCCACTCATTAATTTAGACTCTTATTAAACAACTTCTCAATGTATTACAATAGAACTGCCAAAATTATACTGTAGTATTTTCATGGAACTCATCAGCACCAAAGTTTCACTGAATGACTACTCACATACCTTGAGCAATTAGGAATTGATCTGTTTTGGCTCCAACTATCCAAACTCCATAATCCAGCTATTAAACTAATAGTTTTCAGCACTTTCTCATTTTACAAAATATAAGTTACTCATTTCACATCCTAATGTTTTCTGTGGGGATATTTCTAGCATGGACGGGAAAATACAATCAAGGTTAGATCTTCCTTAGGGAAGCTTTCAGAAAGAACTCTGTCCAGAAAAAATATACAAAATATACAGGCATTATAACCATTATCGGTGCAATGATGGCATTCAGAATCTGTGTATTCAAGAAATACCTTTTACTGAATGGCCATCAAGCACTGATCTAACCTAATGCACAAGGAAAATCCTTCAGGCAAAGAAAGGATTCATAGGAGTTATGATAGACCGGTCAATGACAAGTTCTGCTTCAGCTCAATTAGGTTCAGTTCATTATTTGATTATATTGCTTGATTTGGCCTCTGTGGGAGATAGTTAGAACCCAGTTATTATTTCTTGGTTTGGGGAAAAACTGATCCCACATTTTCAAAGTTTGCTTCAGGCCTAGTTCTTATATTTGTTTTAATGGAATGTATCCTTTAGGGCTTGAGAAAGAACATTTGCTGAGGAGGGGGTAAGAGCCATGGCCTGTTTCTGATCCTGTGTAGTGGCAAGTATTTAACAGTCTAAATGGATAGATAAGAATACCATTTGTAGAAGCTACCTCTCTCCTTTGAGGCTTACAGGAGGGAGGGAGGGAGGGGGGACACACAGAGAGAGGGACCCACTTCCCACAGAAAACACCCGGAGCAACAAAACCTGAGTAGGCGTGGCTGGGGGAGTCATGTGACTGGGTGGGAGTGGTGTTGAGTTAGCCATACCCACCCAGCCACTTCCACCCAGGCAGTTAATAGGGCAGAGAGCCCCTTGATAAAAAATTTGGAGAGCTTCCGGTGGCAGGACAGGGAGAACGGAGCTGAAGAAGACTGTTGCAGTCTTTGAACACCTTTTCTGGCGCCAGGAGCGATCCACCAGGGATACACGAACCCCAGAGAGGTTCGTGTCAACGTGGAGAACGTGGATCCTTTGAAGACTGAAGAGAGAGAATGACAGAAGAATGACAGCATAAATTCTTCTCTCCTGGTTGTAATTAGCACCTTTCAGAAGTCGGGTGGAAAGCGGCCAGAAAAGCAGTTGGGAAAATGAAAGGATTATAAGGGAGAGCGGAAAAGCCTAAGCACAAAAGGGAAAGCACAGATTTACCCTGTGAAAGGGAAGCTCTGGGGAAAGAGGGAGATTGCTAAAACCAGGAGATCGGAGGTCCGGAATTGGTGAGGGGCTTCATCTGATTTTTGGACCTTTCTTTTTGACTTTACTTGAGAAAAGGGAGGTGACGGAGGTGAAAGAATACTGACATTGATTGAGTCTTATGAATCCTCAGATCTGAGCACAACATGACTATTACATTTATTTAATACTGTGGAGAAGACAAACTGAGCATTATATTGGTCTTTGGATGATTT